GATGCCTTTGTTTAGAAGGAGCAGTATCATGTCTAGAAACATAACAAAAAAATCTCATTTTTTGTTGACTCATACAACAGGTAGCTAGTTTGAAGATGATGTGGGGAGAACTGAGTGACAGAAGGCACTGGGGTAGAAAGGATTGGAACTGTTCAGAAGAAACACCAAGTTCACAAGGAACACCAATCATTACCATTTGTGCTGCAGAAAAGTCTAGACATCGAGCAGGGTAAAGCCCCATTGTACAATCCCAGTGTCTTCAAGGAAAAATTACTTCTGTCCTTAACTGCTTGCTTACTAATACAGACAAAAGGCAGGAGGACTGACATAATTAGACACACCAATCTGTCCTATTAACACCTGGTTAAACCATAATTTTCCTGACATTTTGAAGCCATACATTCTTGACTTAATATGAACAAAGTATGCTGGACTTAACACACATGTCAACTGAATTTAGGAAGGTATCCTCACAATAGAGGATAAGGATTTAACTGAATAATAACTTTCTACTCTTACTGTCATTTTATTGTAAGGACAGGGACATGAAGAACGATCTGTGGTTTTTAGAGGAGGTATCGTGATCCAAGACTTAAGAAAAAAATGCTGTAACTTGAGCACTATTCTTTTTCGTTGTTGTTGTTGCCATACTACACAATCCATTTGTCCCAAGTCAAAGAATCTACTAGAGGTACTTCACAGTCATGAAGAATCCCTGACCTGAGGTTGACCCTTGATCTAAAGTGATGGAACTAGGTAGTTAGCTATCAGAATATCCAGATAAAATCTTTATGATTTATTGTGATGATATCTTACTGTCCACGAAGACTTCGATCACATTTTGGGCCCAGGCCTCAGTTCTTCTAGTGGTTTTATTCCATTCTTAATACTGAAATATTGCTGATTGATGTTTAATTTGCTTCAGCGTCTAATTTTCAAAACATGTTCAGCTTCAACTCTCTGGGTTCACAGTGTATCAACAACAACAAGAACTATGTTGGACCTTCTTCCCAAACTACAAAACTAACTGATTGCAAGGAATGTTATGGATTCAACTAGCAGTTTTACATTTTAAAAATCAGTGCGCTTTCTGCTTTTGTAATTGAATTTGTCGTAGCCTTATCTTCAAGACCAGTCAGAACTCCCTACAGATCCAGAAACGTGTGAAGATGCAAACTGAAGGCTGTTATCTGGGATAAGGGGACATCAAGAACTCTTGTCTTGCAAAAACAGACTTCGGTTTTTTAGTGATGCCTATAAGCATACACACAGAGTTAGGTCAGTTTACCTGGAGAAAAGATCATCTACAGCAGGAGAATTACACAGATCCTTTTAAAAACCAAAACCAGATCAAGCCTTTTCTTATCAGTGGCTATAGTCTGTGAAGCAGATCTGTAGACAGTCATGCTAGACAAATCTTTAACTTCTTACATTCCTTACACACTCTAACAGCCTGAATTTGCCTACTCAGTTTTTGCCATGTGCAAGCCACCTGATACCCACCTACCCAAATCATCAAATGATTCTTTGTTTCCCCCCTCCCTGATGGAAGTGCTTCTCAAGCAGTGAGAGCAATTCAATAATGCTGCCAGAGAGGCCAGTCATACTCCTTTTACCTCAAACAGCCCTTGAACAGAAAACGAGATAAACACCTGCTGTCAGCCCCACAGGAGGAGATGGATGGTGGGGACACATTATCCTCTGTGCATGCATTTCCCACACAGAAGCAGCTGCAAGTCATATAAGCTAGTGGCACAGGCAGCAAGACACATTCCAAACGAGGAACCTGTTCCCTATCTCTCCCTAAAGTAGCAAAACTGGCAAATCACTTTACATTTATACTCGTAACAGCAATAACATCTTGGGGTTTAGGTCAATTGAGGAACACTTTTGGTTGAAGCCTGCTTAAGAATTAGTTTTGGTAAGGAATTCTAGGACACTTCATGTACTATTGTCCAAATGAATGTTTTCGCTTTTGGGCCAGCTTGTAGAAGGCAATTCAGAAATGGACATAAATGAGGCTGAACATGTAGTTTGTAATATCTGACATAAATCCACATTTGACTTAACAGCCTTAATAAAAATTCCTACAACTTCTCAGTCTGACTCCCTAGATAACTCCCACAGTTAATCACCAGAAGCAGATTACTAATGAGAACCATAACTCTATGCAACTTTTGGCAAAAGGGTTGCGTCTCATTCAGCCAGCCACAGCCTCCTACGGACTCAGAGACCTCCAAAGCTAGTGCGTACAAGATGTAAGAGAAAAAAGTGCTGAAAGCTCAAGATGAGCAAGAAAACATAATTTTACTAGTGAACAGATAAGAGGAGCAAAAATCAAATTTCTCAGTTTTGATTCTCCTGGGGGAAGCCAGCCCTTTGCACGTATTTGTCACGTGCCACAAGCAAGTCACCAGAAAGCGTGCAAAGCACTTATTAGACGAGAAAATATTTGCACAGCCACTTTAAGCAGTCTAAATTAAAGTCAAGACACGCGCAGGATCAGCTGTCTCCGGAGAGAAACGCCCTCAGGAGCGCAACCTAACCGCGGCCCTTTAACAGTACAGCTGTCAGCGGGTCGCGGCCGACGTTTCTCACGCCAGACAAAACGGCCCCGGAGTTTGCTAAAGAGAAAGCAGCCGGGAGGGCGGCACGGAGCTCCGAGCAGCCACTCGGTCCCCGCGCC